TTACAATATATACTGTATATATATGGTACATACAGTATAAATGGACCACATGGTTGCGCAGTGGTAGCATTGCTGCCTCACGGTGCAGGGACTCTGGGTTCAATTCCTGAGTTTGTTCCCCATCTGTGTTTGTGTGGGTTTTCTCCATGTGCTCCAGTTTTCAGTCTAGAGACGAACTGTACTGGCAGGGAAACTTGACTTCTGGGAAAATTGGCACTGGTGTAAGTGTGTATATGTTCGTGTTTGTGTCCTCTGTGGTGGACTGGCATCCTGTCCAAAATTATCCTGCCTTATGCCTGTTGCTTGCTGGTATAAGGTTCCAACTTCCTGACAACCCTGTATTGGATAAAGTGGTTAAAAATGTAATCTAATGTAATTTTATCATCTACATTTCACATCCCATTTCTGTGTTATCTGAGATCATTATACATTGATGGAGAATGCACAAAATACCAAGATCATTGATTTTGAGTCTTACTTTATTAATTCCTTTCAAAATATTCATTATTCATGATCTGATTAAAATCCCCAAATCTTGTCTGTTAATGGCTAATAGGACATTACTTTATACACTGTGCAACTTATTTTCCAGTCCAGTAAGTGTTCAAGTCAAAACATCAAATGTTTTACAGAGAAGTCATATTCTGGTAAGTGTTTGGTGTTTTCTGACACTCAACACGTCTTTCATTTACTTAGAGCATTATAATAAATGGCATTTTCTGTGGATTTCTGTAATGATGATAACTAATCATGGAAACTATCAATGAAAGGGATTAAACACATTGTGCTACTCTATTAGTTTTACTCAGGAATTAGGGAATATACAATATATGACTTCAACCATTTTTACCGCAGGATTTGGCTCAAAGCTCATTTTGCTGACGACGACTCCTCAATGGTAGCAGACAACAACCCAGTCACTGATCCCATTAACAATATCAATCCTAAACAGAGTTCTTGGCCTCCTCTTTCCAGCCATTTTCTACCAGTTGAATACTTTATTAACCTATGTAACATTCAAGTTCCCAAGACCCTTTCCACACCCAGGAAACACAGGTCTAACCTCACCCAGGGAGAAACTCAGGCACTACAGTCTCTCTGCAATAGGAATGATATTGTCATCAAACCAGGAGACAAATGAGGAGCTGTTGTAGTGTGGCAAAAAGACATGTACATTAAGGAAGCCTCCAGACAATTAACCGATTCTTCTGCCTACCATCCTATCCAACAAGATCCTACTACTGACTACCAGAAGGAAGTGGTATCCACCATCTCTCTTCTCATCAGCAGCAAGGAGCTCCCCCAGGAGGCGAACCGTCTCATCGTCAAACATCCCCAGGTATCCTAATTCTATCTCCTTCCCCAAATTCACAAGCCCGACACCCCTGGATGCCCCCTTATCTCAGTATGCAATTGTCCAACTACGATCATCTCTGCTTTTTTCTACAGCCTTATGAGACCTCTGTTTGAAATGCTTCCCTCATATATCAAAGATGCCTACCATGCCCTCCAACTTTTCAATTATTTCCAATTTCCAGATCCAGAATGCTACAATTTTACCATGGGTATCACGTCCCTCCACACCATCATTCCTCACAATGATGGTCTTACAGCACTCAAGCACATGCTAGACAAAGGCACAGTGTTTGATCCACCCACACACACTCTAGTGTGACTTGCGGAATTGGTTCTCACACTCAATGCATTCTCATTTAATAACCTTTTTTTATCAGCTGGTTAGTGGAGTCACCATGGGCACCAGGTTGGGACCTACCTGTAGCTATGCCAATATTTTTGTTGGCTGGGTAGAAGAATGCTTCTTTGCTTCCTATACTGGCTTTGTCCCTGACCTCTACAAGCAATACATTGATGACTGCATCGGTACTGCTACATGCTCTAATGACCAGCTAGAGCACTTCTTGCATCAACTCACTAACTCTCACCTGTCCCTCAAATATACAGTTAACATATATTCCACCACTAAATGTATCTGTTAACCATCCACGACACTCATCCTTCGGTCTATTAGAAACCCACAGATTCACACAGCTCCTGTACAGCTCTTTTCTTCCCACTCACACCAAAAACTCTCTCAGTTCAGCATATGTCGACTCTGCAGTGACGACATGGATTTCCAGAACTGAGCACTCAAAATTTATTATTTTTTCCCATCAGCAGAGGATACCCCACCCATGTTATCGATAGGGCCTTCACCCGGACCAAAAACAGTCCTCAGATCAACTCGACCAGGAACTCCCAGTCTCACAACCACATTCCTTTGGTGCTTCCCTACCACACTAACACACTTTCTATCCCCAGGACCATTAATAAGTACTCCATTTTACAGGGCTATCCCTCTATCAGTACCCTTTTTTCTAACCGCTTAATCATCTCATACCACCAACCACCCAATCTACATAAACTTCTGGTTCACAGCTCCCTTGACCGCACTCAGCAATCATCCCCACCAGGCACCTTCCCCTACAACAGAACTCGCTGCATCACCTGCAAAGACATATCTAACAACACGCTCATTCAGAGCTCCTCAGGTCAATTCTAGATCACCCAGGTGACACACTGTACTTCCAGCAACCTCATTTACTGTATCTCCTGCATACATGCCCAGCTATCTACGTTGGGGAAACTGGAAGGAGACTAGGAGACTGCTTCAGTGAACATGTTAAGGTTGTGAAGATTAGAGATTTCTCCAAGCCGATAGTTTCTCATTTCACCTCAGATGACCATGATCACACTGATCTCTGTCTCTCAATGAAGGGTTTCTCAACCCCCCTAGCTGAAAAAAAAACAGAAACTAAACTCATCCTGAAACTAAGTTCACACTGTTCCCCTTCTCTCAATGACCGATTTATTTTCATGTTATCTTCTCTCTTCTCATGTAGGTTTTGACTTCACACCTTCCTTCACACCTCTCCACTTTGCACTTCCTGAGTGGCCTCCCTGCCCCTCTCCCAGCTTTGTTCTTCTGTGCTATTTAATCTTTGCTGTCTGCCCTGTTTTTCTCACACTTGAAAAAGGCTTCATAGCCAAAATATTGTGTTTTCTCGCTTCTCTTTTCAGCATGGAATAAACCTATTACTTGTTCCTTAGGGAATATGCTGTAGCTACAGCCATGTATGTTCACTTTGTTAAAGCATTTACATGCACCCAAAAACTCTTGTCAGGCACAAAGTTTATACAATACAGGTATGTATAAACACACATGGAAAAAATCTAGATATACAGTGCAATATTAGAAAATACACAAATTACAATTAATGGCAATAAAAAAGAGAGGAAAGTCAGCATCTAATAAAGCAGGGGAGTGTAGAGGAGATGGGAGCAGGAGAGAAGCAGAGTGGGCACTCAGGTGGTGTGAGGTCTTTCTCTAGAAACTGTGTTTCTTTTCTTCTCTTTTCAGCATGGAATAAACCTTTACTTGTTCCTATTTACGGGCTGGTCTGACAATGCCCTGGGCTCTGTCATCTCTCAAGTCTAAAATCCTGTTTTCCTTAGCTTGTATTTAGTTTTGATTCCTAACTTTGCTTGTCTCGACTTCATTTCTGGGTCACTCCTTGGCTTGTTACTTCCTCTGTGTTACTCAGCTTAGACCCTGCTTGTTTATTTACAACAATATATCCTATGTGCTTCGCTACCATGCTTTCCTGAATGTGTTCCTTGCTTCGTCTTGACCACGTCGTCCTGACCTCTGCTCTGAACTGTTTGCCTGCTTCCCTTACCTGCCCACACCACACTTGTCAATGCGAAAGTTTCACCACACTTTTTTTCTGCCTACATTGTCCGTTTCCTTAGCCAGCTGACTCCCTGACTGCACAAGGTTTCACATTCACCTCATAGATCCACTGCTTTGTTCCACCTTAAGCAGTTGATTATTACAAGTATAGGGTATTTAGTAAAGCTGTGATGGTATGGTATCTGCTCTGGTTCTAGGGTGTTCTGATCATGTGTGGTGGACAGGACTTCTAAATATAGAAAAATATTGTGGTTGTAGACTCAAACTGCGATTAACCATGATAAACTAAAGTCAAATCTTAGTTCTACATCTCTATAATGGAAACCTTTGTTGACCAAAGTAGTTTAGTTACCATGACAGAAGCAATTTATTTCTTCTAGAGCTATGCAACTTCCCCTATCATTTTAGAGTCAATCATCTGTGAATGTAATTTCACAAATGTTGTAGTTTATTTTCCAATGACAAGAAATACAGGGGAATAGAATTGTTGACTTTTTTTCCCGTAGTGACACTATAAAAAAAGACAACAAAACTAATGATTTTGAATTGAGGCTTTTATTGTCTGAAATCATTTGAGTTTCATGCGTGATACTCTGTGTATTATTCTAATGATGAAGACAGAAATATAGTTTCTTTCTCAATAAATTAGTACAATATTGACAGACTTATACTCATCAGGTATACCTTTTACATAAGGTATAAATTGAGGGTCATGCCTTCATGTGACTTTGGGGGTAGTACCAAGTACTGCATTTGTAATTTGCAATTGACAGTGAGTGAATTGAATTTAATCTGTGTCCTTGTCACCTCAATATTATGCTTTTTTTCTTCCTCATTCTATTTCCTAAGTTATTTTTTTTATTTACACTTAATTTGAGGGCATGAAAAAATAACTACATATATACCTGATGAGAATGTTTTGTAATTTGTATATTGTTATTCTAATGTGCTGTAGCTTCCCTGTGTTCTGTTTTAACATAATGTTCTGAAATCCTATACATCACGAAACACAAGTTTAGAAATGAAAATAATTTTAAAATAAAAAATAAACTGATTAAAACATGTTGTATTACTTTACATACGACTTTACAAAGCTGATTATGTGAACACAAATTTGGAACATTTTGGAACACAAATGATGACCATGATATTTTATGAAACCTACTGTACTGATATAATACGTTGCACTAAATATTCTAGAATAAAAACCTCTCATCTCCTAAAACCCAGTTTTGAAAACAATCTTAACATTGTTTTCCGATAGAATAATTTAAGGTAGAACAGGAAATTCATTAAACAACACCAAAAAAAAAATACTGTATAAAAATAATGATATGACTGCATAATACTTTAACAACTGACACCTTGTACACCTCTGGTGCCAAATGACAAAACATATATTAAAAATAATGTAATATATAAGATGCCTGTGTCCTTATCAATGGTGCCTGGCCTAGTTGATCAGTTATAGAGGGGAATTGCAATTAATTCATATTCAAGATGGAAGAGCAGAGGACTGAAACGGCAATGTAAGTTATTTTCATTCTAATGTGAACATTTGTATGTTATGTTGAATAAAAAACTATTGAAAGGGTATTCTTTCATCAGAATAATGTCTTGAGTCTTACACAAACTAGGACACTGTAAAGTGGAGTTTAAGTCGTTACAGTTAGTGACCGTCAGCATCTCTGTATCTGCAGCACAGAGATCACTGCATCTTGATGATGATCCTAGCTGCAGGTCATGATCAGTCATCTAAAGGAGGCCCACCAATGAGAAACTTCTGGGTGGAGAAGAACACTGCTTCTGATTGGGTTACAACCGATCAGCAGTCTTGATTACTGGACAATTAAAAGTATTGTAGAGCCAAAATCCTTGCTCATTTTGTCCTGGTCTCTCATTCTAAACCCAGAAAAAGAACTGACCACATGACTGCAACCACCATTTTGAAAGTCAGGAAATTGAAATTTGGTTCAAAATGCCAGGCCAAGAGATCATCTGTAGATAACTTCTCTCTGCACAAGGAAAATGTTGCTACTATCTGAATACACTATATATTCTCCCTTCTAGTTCTCCCTTCTCAGCACATTGGACTGGAATTGAGTCAGAACTTTTACACAAACTGAGTGGGAAGCCAAGCTCAGCAACAATACTAGCAATGAATGTCTCTGCACTATGGGATGAGGCTAGGCCAAGCCCGCAGAAGGGGATTGGACAACTTTCCGACAAATCCACTCAGATTTCTCTAATTTTTTTGTGCAGAACTTTTCAGGTATTTGTACAGTGGCATAATTCATATATACTACTATTCTTGTTGATTTACTATGAACGTTCTGTTAAATAAATAATTTGTATATTATCTATGTTCAAATTTGTTTTGAAATAGACACTGCTTATTTTTTCTGTCTAATTGATTCCTAATAGTCAGTTTCCTTGTTCTGTTCAATTCATACATTGTTTGGAAACAAGAATTTAAGCACAACTCCTGCTTTAATTTCAAACACCTGATTATAATCAAAAGAAATATTAACATCCCTTCCCATTCCCCTGAATTCCAAAAAGGTGTAGTCTTATCAAGTTATTACACAGGGAATACATTTTAAAGGAATATAACAGAACACCAAACAAAAACAGGAACTACAGTATAAGTAAGGATTATTTATAACATTATAACAGTGTGTCCAAAGAACCCCATGCTACACTTTACCCTCCTTTTTGTGGAGCAGGACCATGGTTGTAATGAAATAACTATGTATTATACAATTTAATAAAATTAACTAGGATAAAAAAATGGGCTGCACCTACAGTAGGTCACCATAGAAATCTGAAAAAATAACATTTGTAATGCAGGAAAAAATTGCAGAAGAGTAATTTATACATTTCTACTTTTATAATTTTGATACTACTGTATTCAAAATCAAGTTGTATTTTTTATTCAAGTAAATAATAATAAAATAATAAAAAATAAAAACACATTGTAACATTATTTTGTATAGGCTGAAAAGTTTTCTATTCCTTCAGAAAAATCTTGGAAAATACCTAGAGAAGATCATGACTTTTTTCATGATCATTGCTACAACACAATAGTCAAGAAGTGTTTTCCTTTTGATATCAGTGTTTAACTGATGTCAAAGTGCCACAGAGTCCTAACTGATGCAAAGAACCCAAGCCTCTTACTACACAAATCTCCAGACTGAGGATATACAACACCCATATTTTTCCAAACAACACTCTTGCATGTTGGCTTTTCTTCTGATCTTGATGTCTAGCAGACTCTTCCCCAGAATAGGCTGTAGCTGACCCATCACTTTACATGAGCTGTGTCCAGATGCTGGCACCTGAAAATAATGACTTCATTACAACTTCCTACTATACTGACTTGCAAGTCATACATCAAATGAAAGTGGCACTTGGCACATTATTTAATGATGTTTGGTGTGCCTTTCACTGGCCTGTCTCCTACCTAAAGTATGCTGTACACAATACGTACAACCTAAAAGACTGTGAAAACAGGGAATACATTTAATTTATACATGCCCTTTATTTGCAACAAACTGAGGTCATGGAGAAACTCTTTGCGAGGACAATAAAGTAACAAATAAAGTAGCCTCAGAAATCACAGTAACTTTGGAGTTTAGAGAAGAGAAGCCCCAAGAAGCAGTCTCTGAGATCTCTAAGTTGTAATTGCTGCAATAGATGAAACCCTCGCAGGATTTTAGTTGTGGCTAAAATATTTTTTTTTAAGTTATGTTGCATGTATTATTCATCTTCTCTCTGTGTTGATGTGCCCTACAGTAATTGGTACTGTGACTCAGATATCGGAGACCTGCCTCCTAGACACAGACAAAACCTTGACTTGAAGTAACCTACCTGAAGTAACCCCAGTGATCATAATGAGGTAGGGTCCTTTTAGTCCTTGAACAACAGTATACAAATGCAGAAAGAAAAATTAAACTGGGTCATCATTAGAGAAATTCCACCTTAGTAGAACATCCCTCTATCAACACAGGAAAAGTCCCCATGGTCCAAGAGGGACAAATCCTTTCAAAAAAGAGTAAAAAAAGAAATTGTAAACATGTGAAGCCTACTGATCAAGAGAAAAACATTGAGGAACAATAAGACGTCAGACGTCCTGAAATAAGGCAGTCAGGCCCATTGATGACATTTATGAATGAATATTACATATTCCAATTTTTTACAATTATAATTTGAGCGTTATAATAGTGGTAAGCATTTGTAGTTACAAGGGTGATATCAGAGGCATTTAAGACACCCACATCTTTACGTCAGGTTTTCAGCATCTACAGGAGGATAAATTGGAAGGCATGATAATATGAAAACGTTTAATATGTAAACTACTATTAAAATTAATCTTAACATCTTGGTCATTTCATTTTTGATTGGTTACTTAAACATATGTCCATATCAAAATTGTCCTCAGATAACTTATATAACAAGTAGCTATATCACCCTGCAACAACTGGCAACTTACTGAAGCAAATGTGAGGCTGGCCAGTAACTGGATGGAAGACATCCTGGAAAGCTAAGGTTACTACTGGAAGAGGTGTTAGTGGGGGCAGTAGGAGGCGCTCACCATGTGGTCTCTATGTGTCCTAAGCCCCAGTATGGTGACAGGGGCACTATACTGTAAAAACTGTACCATCCAAAAACCGAAATCCTGACTGTCTCGGTCATTAAAATGAAATGCCCTGGGACAGCAGTATGATTGCCATCGCTTCATCAAGGTGGGTGATAAACATTGGTGGTGGTGGAGGGGAGTCCCAATTACTTGTAAAGCACTTAGAGTGATGTATCTAGGAAATTGCTAGTGTAAGGATTATTATGATAATGAATGTTTTATTTTATTACTATTCTGGATCTATTAAGACTGTTTTAGAAATAAATTAATACTAGCATTTAAGCAATTGTGTCAGAAGATCCTAATGTGCAATACTTTTCTTTACCGATTTATTTGAGGTAGAGTTACTGGTAAAGGATTGATTTATCGATCTGTAAATTCACTCATATTATTGATTTTGAGCAAATACCAGATGAAATAATACTGGCCTTAACAGATTCTACTTCTTTGTTCAGCCGACATGCTAAGTGACCTGTGTCTCTTAAGTAACACTAATGCCACTCTAAACAGATAACAAAAACAGGGGGATCCTGAATCCAGACCACCTACAGTCCACAGATACCCTTATATTGTATGTCCCCTCAAAAATATTCCTACTTTACCAACAGAGGCATAGGCGTTTAGAAACTGGTTTCTGCATAGTAAAAAACTTTCCACTGGACAAGCTACTCTAAAACTAATGCCAAATTGTGAATCTGAGTTGAAAATGTCTTTTCAGCCTCCACAAACCAAATGTTGCTGATGTTTTTGATTTGCAGACAGATGGAACTCAATCACAGTGTTTTACTTCTTGTTCTCTTTGGCAAACCAAAGACACTAACCCAATGTTACCTGGATCTTTTGTGTCAAATTCTACTTTATTTGACATCACTATAAATGATTAATTAATCAAATTAAGTGGTGAGGTACTGTATACAAAAAATCAAAGTTACTCAGAGGTATGTAGGTTTCCCTGTATATAGAATTGGACCAGCAGCACATGTTGGAAACACTGCAAAGGAGAGAAGAGAATGGACGCAACAGAAAGTGCATGTAGAGATTCTGCAAATCCCTAAGTCCATGGTGAAGATATGAGAAACTATGATTTCAAGGATATAAGGGAGAAACTATAATCATTTCAATGTAAAACAATAAACTAAGGGCGTTGGACCGAAAGGAGAGAAGAATGCAGGGTAGGGAGATGAAAAGTAAAGTGCTATTATAAGACATAACAACCAATAATAGTCTTTCTGAACTACTGTATGTAACCAATGATGAGCATTTGCATAGAAAATCATATCGCCAGTGTATCTAAGGAAACAGGATTTCTTTCATGTGATGTGATTAATCTTATGCCCCACACAAAACGTATGTACATATTACAGTCTTTCATGCCCACTTATACAATAACTGATGACCAAGAACTACCTCAGAGCTTTCTTGCATTAATCTTGCAGTAATTTGTCTGCAATTATTTTGCTTCTCTTTTAGTATAAGGGACACTTCTAGGTTCCTGCTTGGTAAGCACTGTCATTGCAGTATCCAGTCATACGCTTTGTTACATGTAGTAACCCAAGTAGTCCTCCTCTTTATAAAAACATTTGTGTTCTTTAAGAAAGCCCTGACTTGAGCTTTTTGCCTTCATTAAGTGACTCTGTACTATAGCTATACAATTCCAGTAAGAAAGATGGTATCAGTTCACCCTTATTTACTTCCTTAGTTGGAACAGAGCTAGATGTTTAATAAGCAAGCAGAATACACTTGTTCTAATATGAAATCTGACATTTAAAAAACCCTTTACCAATTTCTGAGAGTTAAAATACCACTAAAGTATGTATAATCTATATATACTGTATATATATATATCAGTATACAGTGCCCAGGTATCTCTTCATCTAAACCTTGAAATTGACCTGATCTAAATCTTGTTCATGAGTGTTCTGGCTCATTTCCCAGAATATGATACTTTACTTTAAAAGAAAGATTTTTTAACACTGTAGAAGAGGGATATGTTTCAGGTGTTATGTTTGTTATGGGTACTGCTTTTCTGTTCTTGATATTTAGCTGTGTTATACTAATTTCCTTAGTAAAAACTACACAAAAGTTTACTTTTGCACAAATAATAAACTGTGTATTTGGATCTTTTAGAAACCATAGTAACTCTAATACTCACTGACCTGAAGTTTACCTGGTCAGTGATGACACACCTGAAGAAGGCTCCACAGGCCAAAACGTTGTGTTTTCTTTCTTCTCTTTTCAGCATGGAATAAACCTATTACATTACTTGTTCCTTTGCGACCTTAAACCCATGTCTAAAAACATCCCCAAATTCAAAATTACTCACCATATCTTTGTTGTAGTTTCTGTTGCACATATTTATCCTTCTCTTTTGGTTGTGTTGCAATTAAAACAATTCTTTGCCCTGTGGTCACCATGTGTCCTATCATATTATTTATTATGGCAGGGTTGTCACACCTAATTCATGGTGACCAAGTGTCTTCTATGTTTTTTGTTCTTATCTGATTGATACTTAACTTATTTTCTTTTCAAAGTATTATTTTTAAATTGTGAGCCAGGTCTACTTAACTGACTGTTTTTAGCCTGGTTTTACATTGCACATTCACAGTGATTCTGTCCATATTTTTAAATTAATGTCTTCATAAGTCATAACAGCTCTGTATCTTCTCAACATGTGACAAGATAAGAAGTCATATGGCATTTCCTTTTAAATGCAATACCAGTTGCAATTATTTTGTTAACTGACCCATTGATAATGAATGCTTCAAATTGTTTGCAGTAGGCAGATTATTCACTTTTCCTATGAAATTAAAGAACTTTCAGTACTTTGCTGCTAAATGTTTGAATTCAAAAACTCAGCAGTTGGAGTTCCTTCTGTAGAACAGGGACTGGCTGTGTTTGATCAGTGGGGCACTGAATGCCATCCACAGACTGCAGTAAATCTGAATCAGCTTAAATTGCATCAGGTCCTGGCATTTGAGCACTGTAGCGGAAAGGAAAATTATACTGAGCTACTTAGTGTAACGATTTGTTCTACATGAAAAAAAAGTTTACTTCTACCACCTAATTGCCGCAACTAGCAAAAACTGTTCTGATGCTACTAAATGCTCAACTTCTTTGTATTCTTTGAACAAGTGACAACAATAT